AAATAATGTGAAGCCCTCAGAAGGGCTTACTTAGCCTTACTAGGAATAATCGGTCTATCAATAATGTAAAATTGCGGAATAACTCAACGTTCTGAACATAATTTAAAAAACCGAATGTAGTTAGCCTGTCTGGCCAGTACTTTATTAGTATTAGTGTAAGCCAATAAACCTTGTTAGGTTTTTTACCCGTTCATTCTTCGTAGATATGTAGAAAAACTGGTTTTCCAAGAATCCAATGATAGATTGATTTTGGAGTATCTTTCATTTCCTATTAATAGACAAGTGACTAAGCAATATCAGTATCGCCTTTAGCATCTTTGCCTAATACATGAGGATGAAATCCACGGATATTCACCAAGCTTAGATTTGTCCTGGCACAATTGAAGAGATAAAATAAGTTGAAATTTTCTTAGCAAAGATCCCTCTAGATATATTCAAATGCGACTTCAAATATAGTCCAGACGTAATGCAAAATTTTTATTTCTACTTCCAGGTATAAAGAGAGAGGGCGTAGTAGATAGTCCTAGATATGGTTCGCAGCTTAAATGGTTTAACTCCACAATTTAATCATGCTTATAAAAATAAGGTAAGACTGACTGTTTTATCGCACTACGCAATCTACAAGAAAGCGTAGACGACCGAGATCGTATCATGGAATAAACTTTGTGTAAATTAGAGGTTTGCTAAAAATGCATATTTAAAAATGTGTGAAAGATTTATTAAGATCAACTCGCCTGGAGAGAGTGGAACGAACAAAGGGGCGTTAGAGATCACTTATCATAATCTGGTTATATACCAGCTACCCAGTCCATACATGATCGGCTCGGGTTGGCGTAAGACCCTTTCATTAATGTATGGGCTGACTCACCCACAAGCCTTAGTCCCTTGCCTAATACATGGTCAGCTCTTGCATACCAACTCATGGGTGGTAACGTCGCCACAATACTCACGACTGCTAATAAAGCTTTTTGGGCGTTAAAATAATATCTAGGCGAATAAAAATCCATGCAATAAGAAATTCTTCTTGGGCGCAACATTTTGTG